ATTTTGCCATGGACTTCAATGGAACTAGGATATTGCCTTCTGTGCCTCAATTCCCTATCTGTAAAATGGGGAGAGTACTTCTCTTCCTCACAGTGGAGAGGATAAATTCATGATTAGGCATTCTGATGTGAGAAAAAAGGGGTAAATATTTAATACCATGAAAAACATATCATTGCATGCTCCCATTCACACTGGCTGCAGGTTTCAGCCCAGCTAGGGATGATTTAGACTCCCGGAATTTACTAATGGTGTTTTATAAGACTATGGTGAAGATTCTCTTGTTAATCTATTATAGAAAGCCTAAACCTGAAGGGTCTTGCATTAGAATGCAATTGTAATAGTGCTTTACAAAGGACCTCTCCATTGTTCTTTCCAGTGAGACCAAGCAAATGGCAATACACACTAGTGTGCATGGGAGCCCAGCCCACTGATTACATAGCTCAAGAATAAAGAAAAAAGGCACTGAGCCAAACTCAGTCAGTTCACATATGTGACCTCAGTGGGACTATACACGTTAATTTCAATTTCCAGATAGCATAGCCCTTATTTCTTCAATTTTCTATCTGCTCTGTGACAGAGCTCCTCGTTTGGTAGCTTATTTAGCTAGTCACAGGTTCAGGTTCCAAAGCAGGGTTGAGGCTTCTATCCAATATTGACAGGTTTATGCAATACCAGTGGGATGCTGCACTATAGTCTTTTTTCAGATCATGGCCCCAATTCTTGGGCCCACCTGAGTGGCACTTCTGAGACTGCCAGGGACTAGATAGCTGAATAGGTAGCTAGTCAATATTTTTCTTTATTCTCATTAATCAGTGTGTGGCCATATTATCAAACGCTATCCAAAACCTGTACTGAATAAAGAAATATTTATTTCCTCATGGGTCTTCCAGGGTTCTCATCACCATAGTATGGAGGATTTAATATTACCTAATGAAAGTATCTTCACATCACCTCCTATGAGGCCATATTATTTTCCCTATTTTACAGCTGTGAAACAAAGGCTCAGAGATTAAGGCTAAATTTATCAAAAGTGTCCACTAATTTTGAGTGTCCATCTTCAGATGTATAAAAGGCTTGATTTTTCAGAGTAATTAGCATCTTTATATCACTTTATATTTTCAAAGCACAGTGCCCATTGACTTCAGTTGCAGTTGTGATCTCTCAGCACTAATACAAATCAGGCCCCAGCTGTCTCAACTTGGACACCAGAAAATGAGGAACACAGTTAGTGAACACTTGTGAAAAGTTTGAAAAGACAGAATCCTGTTCTTCTGAGTGACATTTGACTGCTTAGCCATCAGACCATCCTTTCTCCTCCTGCAATCCTTTGCTTCATTCACTCCACACCTACCACTGTTTGCAACAAATTGGAGAGGGGTGGGCGGAATGGTTCTACAGACAACAATCTCATTCACTATGCAATCCAGATCCATTTCCTGATTCCTGTCTATCCTGTGCACTAAACATAGGGTGACCAGATGTCCCGATTTTATAGGGACAGTCCCAATATTTGGGGCTTTTTCTTATATAGGCTCCTATTACACCTCCCGCCCCATACCGATTTTTCACACTTGATGTCTGGTCACCCTAACTAAACAAGACAGGAGTCCTGGGGATAAAATAGCATGTATCGCATAATCAAAGACTATATCATAATGCCTATGCATAAGGGGGGGGGGGCTGAGTAAGGTTACATAACGAAAGTGCCAGGCAACCTTAACTATAGGTGTCACTGCCAACCCTGCCTAGAATATATGGTAGTAGTTTCATTTTAGTACATTAAACTTAAATTAAATATAAACCCAGGAAAAAGGCTACTGAATTAAGTTCATGTAAAATGATAGTGATATATCACTCTCTAAACCCTAACATATAATTTTAGATTTCCCAATTTCTTGCAAACTTGCAACAATATTTCTTTATTCTTTATAATACAATACATAAAAGAAAGTTCAGCTGAGTCATAAGGAAGTGGTGGGGGAAGAGGAGAATATCTATATAAGGATTGTCATCTTTGGAGAGAAATGAAGCTCTCCGTTTCAACATAAAGATGCCAATATTCATAAAAATACAACTTCAAGATTGAGAAAACTATCTGAAACAGTAAACGCCTGGGAATCACTTATGAACAGTTCATATATTTTAAAGATGTAAATCTTAGGAAGAGTACCTTATGTTCATGGCAACTGAGTTTGGAGGTACTGTGTTTTGTAACTCTCAGCCAGAGAAGACAGATAACTATTTTGGCTCATATTACCAGTGATGAGGCCATGTCTAGCACTGATTTTCCACAGATTCTACAATCTTGGCCTATACCAAAACTTTCAGCTTTGTTTTACCATAGATCATTCATCTTGATTTCTTCTTTTTTCCTTTCAAGAATTCTAGGTCACAAACTTTATACTGCTAACAATCTGCACTTTTGGACAAGTAAAACCATTTATTTTGTTCAGTACTCCTTTAATATTTCTATTGTGTCCCTTTTTTTCCACTCAGTTCCCCAAAGAATAACCTCTTCCTTGTTTTAATAACTTGGACCTCGGTCAAGGTTGATGTGTTTCTCCTTTTTGCAGGATATTTTCTTCAGAAGAGACAAAACAGTGTCTAATATTGCAATGAAGGGTTTTGGTTTTTTTAAAAAGGGTGCAGTTTAAAGAGGAAATTACAAACAGTTATGAAAAAAGTAGGAAATAGCCTCAGCAGCAGAGCTGGTCAGCTTGATTTGTACACAATAGTTGGGTTTGAAGAGAAGGGGCTCCCCTTTCTCTTCAGTAAGGGAGCTGCCTGACAGATTCCAGGTGTGTCACAGAAGACGACCACTTCAAACTCGTGCTCCTTTCCACTAGTTTGCTCTGACACACATGGTTTACTACACTACTATCTAGTGCCTCTAGACTTCAGGTACCATTCACGAATGAGGGTTAGAAGCAAATCAGCAGTATTTCATACTATTGTGCTTGCAAAGTAACAGGAAGCCCATATTGGACAAGCAGCAAACAGGCTAGAGTCCATTCCCTGCAAGGTGGGAGGGTGACAATGGTATGGAGGAAGGAAGCCAGAGAAGATGGAAAGGGCCAGGAAAGGCAGGGACAGAGGATGTGGGGCCTGGAGAAGGGAAAAGATAATAAAAAGGAGGGAGAGAAGAGCTGGCATGAGGAGCAGAGTGAGGTTAGAACTAGAGAAAAAGGAGAAAGGAATGGAGGGAAGGAGACACAGGAGGTAGCAGCAGTAGTCTAAGCCTGGAACTCTTTCATTTGTTCTTGCTCTCACTGTGTTGTAGGAGTGTGGAGAACACTTTACACCCTGCAATCCTGGGCAGGACAGTTTGAGGCTGATTATGGCAGGGGTGGTGAGAGCAGACCAGGCCTGATCATCCCAGCATTGATACGCAGGCAGATGATCAGCCCCCGCACATTTCCCACACCCAAAATGCTGTTCTCCCAGCTTTTCATGGCTCTTTCCCCTTCTGCTTCTTTGCTCAGGCCACCCCTGTATTGTGTCTCACTCCCCAGCAGGGCCGGCTTTAGGAAGTGCGGGGCCCGATTCGAACAGTTTCGACGGGGCCCCGACAGGGATGACTAAAAAAAAACCAACCACGTTAAAAAAAACACGTGGGGCTTGTACTCACCGGGCCGCGCTCCTAGTCTTTGGCGGCGGGTCCTTCACTCGCTCCGGGTCTTCGGCGGCACTGAAGGACCCACCACCAAAGTGCCGCCAAAGACCCGGAGCGAGTGAAGGACCCGCTGCCAAAGACCTGGAGCGCTGCTGGGTGAGTAAAAATTAAAAAGGTGCCTCTAGCCAGGGAAGGGATTCTCTGCCACTTGCCCCCCACTCTGGGCGACCCTGCCACTGGGCGCGGGGCCCTCTTAAGCGCGGGGCCCAATTTGGGGGAATTGGCCTAAAGCCGGCCCTGCTTCCCAGGCCCTCTCTAACAGCTACCATTGTTATTTCACACACCACGCAGGTCACGCGCTGCCTTTGGCTATGAGCTGGGCCCAGCAGCCCACTGGCAGGCATTCCAGATGCCGAGCACGCACAAGTCCAGGGCTGAATCCAGCACAAGATCTATTGGGCAGCCACTGTTTACAAGTTACAGAAAGCACATTTCTGAATTGCACTCTGACCCAACAGTAGTTATGATGGGGTCAAGAAGACAACACCTCACTGCAAGAAAGTCTGATTAGTTCAGAGGTCAGAATACTTAAAAAAAAAGCATATTTTTTTTAAATTTATATTAATGGAAGTTAACAGAATGGACAAGCTCCACATCTAACTTCACCATTCAATTGCAGAGGTTTTTCCACTGTTTCCCATCCTTCATTCACAGGCTTATTTTGTTAGTGCTTTGGAGTAGAGATCTACCTTGTCTTCATATTCATTCATGCAGTCCCTCCTATCAGATTTTGGTGCTGTATATATGGAATAATATGGCTGCTTAGAACCATCTATCATATAATTATACAGGTTTTCATGTTATCCCAACTTACATTCAAATATTACTGGTCTATTACTGGAAAACACCTTGCTTACACAAATTGAAAGCTATTACATTTACTTGGCACCTGAATTGTGTAACCTACAATGAAGACAGTTTGTTTAGACAGTAAAATGGTTAAAAAAAATCTACAACCAACATACTGTTCTCCAAGACAGATTGGTTTAAGTCAAAAGACCAAAACAAAAACAAAAAAAAACATAATTTAAGAAAATATTGCTAGTTCTTTCCCAGTTGACTAACCTTCGACTGAAAAGTCTCAGAGAAAACTTGACCATAAAATTCTTATTAACTGTGAATTGACTAGTAGAATAAAAATTTTAATAGTTCAATAGGGTTATTTTTTTAAACTCAACATATTAAATTACAGACAAATAAAGACCTATTTTTTGGACAGGTTAGCATTTTTCATGCCAGTAACCTTATTCCATTCATAAAATAAAAAATAAAATGAAGTTAACTACGCTAATGCAGAAGAAGATTACAAAATAATAAAACACCTTACCCCTTTAATGTAGATCCCAAGTTCATTTGATTCCATGTCATGCATTCAATCTGTGAGGTCATTTGGTATAAATTGTCACTGTTATGAAAATATCTAGAATTAGAACTAAATTACTTGACCAAAATTCAAGTAATACTTAAAAGAAGCAATAATTTTCGTTTTTCTTTTTTAAAAAGTGTTTTCAAAATACATATAGCAGTACCAAATGAATTTATTTTATTTCAACTCTTATCTGTTTGTGACATTAATTTTAAAAGAAAAAGAAAGAATGATTATGTGGTAAAAGACAAGGTGTTCATTGTGATCTAACTTGTAAATTTTAAATGGCTGAAAATTATATGCAATAAAGCTTTTAAAGAAAAAAAATACTGCAATTAAATTAATGGAACCAGTATATGCAGATTTGTGGGTTAGCAATAAAGAATATTTCTTATTTTTATAAAAAAGAAAGCAAGTGAACTAACTTTTAATAAAGCGTGTAGAGGATCACGTGGTTAATGGACTGAAAGCTATCAGGACTGGTGACCAATGTTACTACATATAGTGACTTGACAAGAAAAATGGAGTGGTTGAACCATAAATTAAACTCACAACTGGAATACTAGTCTTTTTTGGTTTTATGTTTTTTTGTAAAATGTTATAATCTTAGAACAATGAACTCAGCAGACAGCAATATTCTCAGAAACTGGTTGTCAGTTGCTTATTTTCTATTTTTAAAGAAAACACTTCAGTGGTTTTTTATTTGAGATCAACTGTAACCAAAAGAAATGTAGATTACAGATCTACTGATATAATAATGCTCAACACTTATCACAAATAATTTAAACAGAAAAGTGAACAGGTATGTGCTTCGAGGAGGGGAAAAACTGCTGCAGACTTGCAACACCAAAAGCAGTCCGTTTCCCTAGGGTTTTCTCAGTAAGTTAGCCGTAAGAGGAGAGTCTCGCTATACAGACAGGGCTGAGCAAGTTGGTTTCCTTCTACACCGCATGCTCGCACAACATTTCTCCATGGAAAACCGCCGTGTGTTCTTTCTGAATCTTGGTTCTCCTGGAAATCCAAGTTCCCATTGCTACCCAACATTTCTCCGATCTGCTGCAGAGACTAACTGAAACAACGTTTTGAGTCTCTAGTCTTTTCAAATCGATTTTCTGATTGATGTGGGTGCCAGTGAAATAGCAATTCACAATCAACATAAGACCCCTGGTTGATTAATAATAGCTAAACTCACTAGATTTATGTAATGATTGTATATAATTTTGTTAAGAGAGTTTTTTCATGGCAGGTAGAAGTGAGCTAGAAAAGTCAGATTCCAGTGGGAAGCTTTTGCATATAAAACAAGTTAAATTACTTCAATCTTAAAGTATGTGTAATATCATTTGTCAGTATCGCGGGACACTATTATTCATTAGAATGTCTGAACTGCTATTATGCTACTACAATGTCCTGCATATCAGCTCCGAAATTGTTAGACTCTCCTGCAGTTTCCCCATTTGCAACAGCAGTTCGTGCTGGTCTGTGCCACTACGTTTTGCAATTCCACGAATTCTTCCTGTAATGCTGCTGTAATTAATTCCTCCAGGGCCCTGATTTTTATTAGAAGTGCCCGCCCGATGCATTTACAGCAGATTTCCCTTTAACTTTCTTTCCCTTGACAGTTCATTTATAAGAGCCTCCTCCACAATATTTCCCCCCTTCCTCCTTTGCTTTTTCATCAAGCAGTACACATTCATCTTGTCACTAACCAGCAGCCACTGTATTCCATACTGGGTTTGGTGACAGTGCACAAAACAAATCGCTTAGGAACCAGGACAATGTTCAGAGACACGTTGAAGGTAGTCCTGGGCTCCATTTCGGTACAGTTGGAAGCGTGTCTGGCTCATGCACTCCATTCAATAGGAGGTTTACAACTATGTGTCCCGGCTACAAAAGACAGCCTTGCCAGTGCGATCAGGGGAATTCTCCGTTTAAGGGATCCTGAGTTTACACTTGTCATCAAATAAACTCAAAGATGGTTTGTCCCTTGCAACAGGTACAGAGGCAAATTCTGCTCTCATAAAAACTCCCACAGACTTCCATGGACTTTGGATAAAACCCCTTACACTGGTCATTCCCATGACGTTAGCCCGGACCCCCATTTACGCAGGTGTAAGAGAGCAGAATTTGGCCCAGAGAAGTGGCTTGAGCAAAGACAGACCCACTAGTCACTGGTTATGTATTAGCCGAGAAAGAGAAGGAGGAGACAATAGCAACACAGTGCCATCCGAGAGGCCACCCACTGACAATCAAGGTACCATGGGGGACAGTGTCTGGAGCTGCGGGGACTGGAGGGGAGCGATTTGTGAAGGTTAAAGTATTAAGCTCCAAACAGAAGTTGCAGCCCGACCCTGCTCCCGCTGAAACGGGCAGCAAAGTAACTGCTGTTTACTTCCATGGGGGCCCGGTGGAAGCGCTCACCTGGTCTGCGGAGAACATAGGGACAGGCAAGAGCATACCACCCAGCCAGGAAACCCAAGAGTGACTAACCCAGCAGCCTGAGAGCATAGCCCTTCAAAGTCCCCCCGGACCCCGGCACTGGGACCTCCACTCCAGGACCCCTCTCTCTGCCTTTGGCTGGAGCCCGGGATAACACGGTCCCGGCCGGGCCTTCTCTAGTTTCTGATACTTGCTTCCTTCTCACGAGAACATCAGGGCTGCAGGTGGGGTGGTTTAAGCTACAAACCCACGGGAAGGGAAAAAGGCCTCGGATTTCACCCGCTTACCCTGGAGAGCCCAACTGGCTGAGTGCCCCTCTCTGCGCTCTGGCTGAAGGCACCTCAGCAGTTATTTCGGAGTCTTATGCCTCCATAGCTAGAACTGTGTTTCCATTTCTACCGCAGCAGGGACTTCTGCCCGGTTCTCCCGACTCCACAGCTCCGCGGAAAGACCCCTGCCCACCCTCAAGAACAATCAACGTCCATGTCGGCTGAAAGCCCGTTCCCAGGGTCTAGCCCTGTAATGGGGGGGTTAATACGCATGCAAAAGAGAAGCCATTTATACAGATGGCTCCCGATCTAAAAACAGACCTATGTTTAAGTCACCAGTATTTAATCACACCGGAAAAATAAGCGTTTAGACCCATCGGTTCCTAAAAACTTTGGAGACCACCATTGCCACTCAGGGTTGCTTACTGACTTCAGCCATTCATAAAGATAACCCGCAGAGAGTGGTAAGAGTCGGTTTTGTTTATCTGTTTAAATTCAGGCTTGTACGAGTTCTGGCTGGGGAAATTCCCCATAGGCTTTACCAGATACATATTGTACTCGTGAAACAGCTCCTGTTAAATACAATGATAAAAATAAGACGCCTGTGGCATGAGGCGATACTGTGCTTGAACACACATATTTGAGCTGGAAGATTTTAAAGAGTGACTAGGTATCTAGGTGTGTGTGTGTGGCGGATTGTATTGAATTTTCTCCTTGTTTTATTCCGAGCATCCTCGATTGCTCTCAAGTAAACGTGGCTCAATTGCCTTGACAAGCAAACACAATTTTGCTTCATGGGGTGGGGGGGGGGGTGTTCATCATCCCCATCTAAGATCAGACAGGACTGTAGACCTAGCGAATGATTCATAGGTGGTGGACAGTTAGGGGGGAGGGATAGCTCAGTGGTTTGAGCATTGGCCCACTAAACCCTGGGTTGTGAGCTCAATCCTTGAGGGGGCCATTTAGGGACCTGGGGCAAAAAAAATTGGTCCTGCTAGCAAAAGCAGGGGACTGGACTTGATGACCTTTTAAGGTCCCTTCCAGTTCTATGAGATAGGTTTATCAGGAGCCCAGTCCTGCTCCCATTGCAGTCAACGGAATTCTCTCAGTTACTTCAATGGGATAATAGCAATGATGCAGCCGCCCCTATAGCTACCGATCACATCACATCCTGGCTGGAAGATTTTGTGAATCTCCGCTCCAGTGGAAACACCCTCCCGTTCCATGCTGCAAATAGAACACAGAGGTGAAAGTTGCTGCTGCTGGGGAGAGACTCCAAATGCCAAAACACAGCGAGCTGGAATGTAAGTAGTACTGCGAACTCCGGGCTCCACGGTTGATCACCCCAGGCTGGAAGCAAGTGGGAGGCAGAAAATGGCATGCTTGGCCAAGTTTGCCAAGTGCACCACCGGGTTTCTCCAAAAAGAGTTTAGTATGGTGTATCTAATAGAGGAAGAAGTATCCATACATCCATTTAAATCTAAAATGGGTTATTACTGCCCGTGCTACAGGATGGTCTCAGAGTCAATAGTTATGTTCAAATCTTAGCTTTAAATACGATTTGAATGATGAGAAGGAAAACTGGAGTCTCTGGGGATTTGCCTGCATTGATTCCCATTTGAATCACTAGTTCCCTCAAATGACCACAAATAAGACACTAAAAATAACTTATTTTCATTACAGAGATGTTTTTAAAATGAAATAGGAGGGGGGAAAACTTTTCTACAACGAGGATTAATGTAAGTTGGAGTGAAATAAAAGGAAGTCAACCCTGAGCAAAAGAGGAACTTTAAAGGAAACCAGTAGTAGATCATATAGAGTTTGTTTTGGCCTGCACGGCAGTATTACTGAGTTCTTGACCTCTGCACAGAAAGAGCTATAATCTGAACTGAAACTCCTCCACTCTTAAAGTCTTTGCAAGTGTGACTCACAGTAAATTTTCAACATTAAACATGTTTACTACATTAAACAGCATGAGGTAGAAAAGTTCACATCACCATTTTAATGGAATCGCAAATGCTGGCCTTTCAATGCACACTTGCAATCTGCATAGCTTTGCCATCAATAACTAACCATCAACAACAGACAATATCTCTTGGCAGATGCGGTGCTTGTGTTATAAGAGAGAACAAGTAGTTGCCAAAACTGGAGATTTCAGAGATACTGTTGCTTCCATTATAAGAATTATGGGCTCTTGAATATTTATTTCAAGTTATCGCCTTTCTTACTGTCTCTTTTACCAGGGCAAAACAAAATGGAAAGGTCTTCAGTCTTAGACTTGCTTGCATATTTTCTCCTTACTTCCTTTCTTTATTATGGACAAATTGGTTGCTA